GGCCACATGACCACGGAAACGTCTTCGGACAGCGCTGGCTCTTCAGCTTTGAAACGGAGATGAGCACCACAACCCTAGAGTCGGATTCAACTGGCTTTCGAGCAAGGGAACCTTTACCTTTACCTTTATCGAGTGGTTAAGAGCGACGGACTCTAATCTGGAAGAACCGGGTTTGATTCCCCAATCCTCCACATGCAGCCAGCTTGAGTGACCTTGGGTCAGTCACAAGTTCTCTCAGAGCTGTTCTCTCAAGAGCAGTTCTCTCAGAGCTCTCTCAGCCCCACCTACCTCACAGGGTGTCTGTTGTGGGGAGGGGAAGCAAAGGTGATTGTAAGCCGCTCTGAGAGGTAGAGAAAAGTGGGGTATGAAAACCAACTCAACTCATCTCAAAATAATAAAATATTATGAATGTAAGTGGAGGCAAAGGCCCTGTCCAAAATACCTTACAGTCAAAGGGGATCTACTTGCATGGCTTCTTTAGATCTAAAATCTGGAGAGCCAGTTTGGTGTAGTGGTTAAGTGCGCTGACTCCAATCTGGGAGAACCGGGTCTGATTCCCCACTCCGCCACATGCAGCAGCTGGTGTGACCTTGGGTCAGTCACAAGTTCTCTCAGAGCTGTTCTCTCAGGAGCAGTCCTCGAGAGAGTTCTCTCAGCCCCACCGACCTCACTGGGTGTCTGTTGTGGGGAGGGGAAGGGAAAGGAGGTTGTGAGCCGCTCTGAGACTCCTTCGGGTAGTGAAGGGTGGGGTATAAATCCAGTCTCTTCTCTTCTTCTCTCAAAAGTAGCGGGGCTCAGATCTGGGCTGGGGTGTGTGTGCTGTTGTGTGTGTGTATTAAGTGTCCCAGGCTTCTTCTGTACGCTAGAGCTCTGGGTTCCGGTGTGCCTTAAGTCAGAGGGGATTGGCGCACAGAAGGAGCGTGCGTGTCATCACCAGTGTTCCCTCTAAGCTGAGTTAGTGTGAGCTAGCTCACGGTTTTTTAGCCTCCGGCGCACACATTTTTGTCTTCGCTCAGGAAGGATGGGGCTCCAGAGCAAACTGATTTATGCAGCAGCCCAATCGCTCGCTCACAACTTCAATGCCAGGAGCTCACCAAGCAGAATTTTTGCTCACAGGACTCCACAGCTTAGAGGGAGCATTGCTCCCCCCCCAGAACATCTCTGCCTGCCCGCCACAGAAAGCTGGGGTTATGGTAATGGTAGCGAGGGTGTGTGTGTGTGTGTGTGTGTGTGTCACTGTCGGTGTGTGCGCGTGTGTGGCGGGAGACGCACTCGCACACACGGAGGAGGCCCCTCCGCATTCCAGCGCTCGCCATCTGTTGAGCAAATACCCTGAGAATGGGGGCATTCAGCCGAAGAAAGGAAGAGAAAAAGGCATGGGGGACGGGTCTCCTCGGAGCCGGGGGTCAACGTGGGGGTCACCGTTGCCGAG